ATATGTGCTTGCAAGATAATTGTCATTCCACTTTTGAGTATTTTAGCCTGATTTATAAACGTATACCTTATAGGTTATGGTATATTTTATTATTTTATCCGATATATTTTATTACTAAGTATGAAATAGTTAACAATTAATTTGAAAAATTGCAAATAGTTTTAATAATGTTTATTAAATTGTCCAAGAATATAATCAAGTAATTTAGGTTAGATAAGGTAAATATGTGGAAACCCGTAAAGCACACATGGACCTATTGGTTAAAATCTGCTTTTATATGTTATGTAAGAACAATAGTACCAAAATTCTATACTCTTCTTGATAAGAAAGATTTTGGGTGAAGTCAGCAAATAATGTTGTGTGTACATATATGAAAGCAAATATGTTTTTCTACATAACACATAGAACACAAGCAAACAAAATCTATTTTTAAGAACTTCATAGCTTAAATATTTCGCACCTATTTGGAAGAGATTTGAAGATTCACTGTTCTTCTAATTGTGTTTTTTTTTTTTTGAAACATTGGATCAAGGCAAATCAAAGTACTATGTCGGTTTCAACATTTAAACTTACTAACCAAAATGAACTTCAGCATACGATTAAGTTCGCGTGAAGATAAGTAAATATGATGTAACTTTTGTATAAAGTGATCAGCAGATAAATAAGATAAATAAGGTAATTATTTGCATAAACAAGCCCATTTGAAATTCGTTCGACCCGAATTAATGCTACGCATGCGTCGCTTATTTTCAATCTTCTGGAAATGTAAACTTAAACATTTTGAAGTATATTATGCTAGCAAATGGTAGTTACAGCAAATACGATTTATGAATGAAATTAGATTTGATTTATACAAAATTCAGATATTTAGAATTCAAATTAGCACCTTTAATTTACTTAGCCAAATTTGTAAATGAAGTAACGCCAAGGGTTAGTAGGTAAATTTATGGCAAAAATGTTTAGTGATTTTCAAAGTATAAAAGCTAAACGCAATTCACTGAACCTTAAGTACAAACTTCACTCCAAAAGAGTACAGTATTATAAAAACGAAAATAAAGGATTAATTAATTAAATCTACTTCATCAAAACTTTTTAATAATATCAAAATGAATTCAACTACAATTTTGGCTTTCTGCATTTTGGGTGTATTTTACATCAGTAGCATACAAGCAGTACCTGTGGCGATCTACGAAGTTCCTGTTGCCGCTGTATCAGATACAGCTCCATTAACTTTGTTGGATATTGAACAATCAAATGAATCGGCAATAGATGGAGAGTCGGAGAGATTAGCACGTGGTCTTGGTTTGGGCGGCAAATTCGGTGGATTTGGAGGTTTAGGACATGGAAGTTTCAAAGGTTTTGGAGGTCTTGGTGGTCTTGGATTTGGTGGACTCCATGGACTTGGTGGAGGTTTTGGTGGTTTAGGATTTAAGAATCTTTTTGGTAAACATTTTGGTTAAATGTTTTATCTAAAAAATTGAATATTTTTTGAAAATTCTTGTACAAAGTTTTTATAAATAGTTACATTTTTTTTACCAAATCATTTTTATTACAAACAATACCAAATATTCAGTTATTAAGTAAAAATCACATTTGTCACGTTTTTTAGTTTAAGATAATTTCAATAAAGAGAAAAAAAAAAAAAATGTTGGTGTCTATTATTTTCATGTTAAGAACTGAATCTTAATCAAA